ATATATATATATAAACAGCACCTTTTATATCAGTGAGTTATTTGATGGAATGGCCGATGTCCAATATTTAACTTTATTGCTAATATCAGCCGATACAAATACCATGCCGATAATATATAATAATGTACATCCCTAAACTGTAGTCCTCAGTGTCAAAAAATAAATTATATGCATCCTCACATGAAGAGAAAAATACAAAAACAGGCTGAACTCTGAGTTTACTGCTTCTGCTCACCGTACAGCTGAAGCCGAGCTGGAGATTTTGAACCGAATCTGCTCGATAAGTTGGCTAATCCTCTCATCGTTGGGCTCAATGGATGGATGAGCGATCACGTCAACCTACATGTGCAACAGAACCGGTGCAGACAGAAGAGTTAGTTTGTGATTACATCTGGCATGTGGTGCTAGCTACAACATATTCTGCATCACTGATCATGTGTTATAATTTAAAGATTTGTTGCGAACAAAATGTGGAAAAAAACTTGCAGTGAAGTTGCCGTATTTGAGTAAAAATTGAATCTCTTTCCATTTCTGGCTACAAACGCTTCCATTCCTTCTCGGTTTTGAATCTATATGAAGTGCAGTGCACGCACCTTTTTGGTGATCCCGTCCTGTATAACTGTGGTTGTGTAAAGCTTAACCACGCCTTCTCTAAACAGAGAGTGGACGAGGCGTAAAATAGTCTTCTTGCAGCACCTCGTACTGACACCGTCCTGCTTCTCTTCAGCATTGATCAATTTTTGCAACCTATAACGTAAACATCACAAACGAGTTTTTCCTCATACTTTCGTTACTGTACAATGAAATGCTTTGAAAAGCAGGCAAAATCTCTAACAAACTGACGGGAAAAGGCCCTCTATGACTTTGAAGTTAGTGACAGCCTCAATAATCAAGTTCCTTCTCTTGAGCAAGCGGTACGTCTCATGAGATCTCTGAAGGAAGGAGAAAAAAAGAACAGATAAGCTTTGACTTATCTGAACCAAAGGAGGAAACAAACCACTGGAAATGACTCATTGAGCTTACCTGTGACAGGAAAACATGATCAGCAACGACAATCTTGTTGCTTTCAGCATCATTCACTGCATCACTCTGGGGCACAGAGCTGTCAGGAGTTTTGTTGGACTGATTTTCTTCCTCAACTGCAGTTTGGTCTGTTATATAAAAATACAAATTAAATATGAAAACAAGACAATCCTAACAAAACATACACATTGTAGCTTCAAAAAAAAAAAAAAGACCTGAACAAAAAGATTTGGCTTTACAGAAGTCCCTCGCTACTTCGCGGTTCGACTTTCGCGGACTCGCTCTTTCGCAGTTTTTCAAAGTAAGACTGTACACGAGAAAAGAAAAAAAAACAATTGTACAGGACACATGATTGTTAACTTTAATATTACTCGTGTGATTGGGACAGTACTGGATACTGTACAGTAAAAAGTTAACGAAAAATAAAATACTTCAGACAGGCGCTGTCATTTTGTTGTTTTCTGTCAATAAGCCTACACTGTATCCCAATTCATAATGACTACATTTCCCAGAAGACAACAGTGCCCCGTCCAGAAGCCCTGTTGCCTTCTGCTGAAATATTACTGGGAAAGTTTTGATCTGATCCGAAAAATTTCGGTGCTTATTCATAGTGACTTCGGTTCCCAGCGGATGCAGAGAGCTGCATGGAACCCACCGGACCGGAACCAGAGCAAAACAGAACCGGACCTCCAGATAAATCGGTCAGTCTGAGAGCTGCTTGCCAACTCACGAGGACTTCCTTAGTGTTTCCCTTAGATAACTTGTGGGGCGCTCATCTCATCTCATCCGTGATTTTTGTGGTGGTGGTGGTGGGGGGATAGACGGAGACACGTCCTGAGCTGCGCAGTGCGCTGTTTATACAGACAATTTTACAGTAGGGTGGGGGAGAGGAGAGAGACAAGAGACACATCTCAGCCGCGTGCTGTCTGTACCGACAGTTTATTTTACGTTTTGTTTCTGGTTTTTTTTTTTTTTTTTTTTGGGGGGGGGGGGGGGGGGGTGTCCAGTGTGAGGGTTTAGCATGAGGGAAGAGGCTGCTTTTAGCTTTTTAGCTAGCACACCTGCATTGCCAGCCACTAGTTTAGCTTTACGTCAATGCGACAGGTGGTTTGGGTTGAGGGGTTCGGTAGACTGGGCACTTGGGTCTGTTGACCGGGCGGGGCGCCCCGCTTGTATAATGGTAGGGGAAACGCTGTCTACCGGAACTCCCCCCATCCAGATTTGGAATCAATAGGACTCACTGTCTGGACCCGTGCTGGCCATCCGAAGGTCCGGCTCCCTCCAAAATGCGTTTTGATGTTTTAAGGTCTGCACAGAACCAGACCAGAACTGGAGCAGAGCTGGCAGGGTGGGTCTGCCGGACCGGAACCGAGCCGCTGTTTCTGCAGAGCTGGTGGGTAAAATTTTGCAGTACTGTGCAGTACATAAACGTATGTTGATAAAATGATGTAGGTTTAAGAGTTTAGAACATTGCAAGAGTGTGGGAAGAGTTTCTAAAGCCTTAAAATAAATATCAATACTAAAATAAATATAAAGTTCCTACTTCGCAGATTTTCACTTATCGCGGGGGTGTCCGGAACCTAACCCGCACAATAAACGAGGAACTACCGTACAGGAAAAAGTTTCTACAGGGTCAATGTTTGATACGTTCTGAAGTGAATCTGTTCACTCATTACCTGGTGCAGGAACAGAACCAGAGTCCGGTGTTGTACTGGTCGTAGGTCCAGTGCAGGCTGGGGTTTCACCTAAGAAATGACAAGTTTAAGAAACAGCCCAATATGAAGCTGGAAATGATAAAACCTACTAAATTAGTTGTCAAAGCAGCCCTTACATTCAGCTTGTGTAGACTGGACACTGGGAGTGTCAGGCTGTGTCTGTTCTGGTGCCACATGGTCTTTTTCCTCTGAAGTTTTTCTTTGTCCTGACTTTCCTCTTGCTTTACCACCATTTGCACCAGACTTTTCATCCCCAACATCCTCTGTACTGCCAACACACGTCTGCTGTTCTTCTGCGTCTTTATTCCCACTTCTACCTGCCTTCTTTTTCCTCTTTGCTGCAGTTTTGCAGGTTGTGTTTGACAGAAAATTTGAGGTTGCTGGTGTTTCGGTGGCAGCAGAGGAGCACAGGAGCTTCGTTCGTTCCCGCTCCTTAGCGAACAGTTGGAAAGGATCGCTGACACCCACACACCTGCCAAAAGATGCAAGAACTTTGGTTCAACAGGGTGAGGCTGAGAAAACAAGTTAAAAGTTTATTCTCATTTTTTGGACACAAACTTCTTGCTGATAAATTTTGTAATCCTCTGCCGGCCAACGTCCTCCATAAATCCCTGCATAGTCAAACATAAAATGAAAACCAGATCAAAAATAACATGGTTGAATATTTCCCGTGCGTAACGTTCACATTTCCGTCCCAGCCATCTCAGTTTAATCGTCACTAATACCATTTCTCTTTAGGTAGGAGAAATAAAGTGCCACTGTCTTACCTTAATCAGACCATCCTTCAGGAGCTTTCGCCACACCATACGTGATTCTAGTTGACCAATGTTCATTTTTAAAGAAATATCTCTCTGTGAGCATCCTTTTGTACCAGAAGACAATACTGAAACAAACGAAAGAAAAACAGGAAGTAACTTAGCATTTCACTTTATGTGGGTTATATCGATTTTTATCAATAAATTCAAAATAAATAAAACTAACTGTCCCACCGTGCATTAAAAATCTCATAAAACCTTCAACTTTATAGTAAAGTTTTTATTTGTTAAAATTGCAAAACACAATCTTCATTACAGCTTCAGTGATGATTTTCCTTAGAGGAAAAAGCCCCATTATTTGAATTAAATCTGAGACTTTTTAAACAACAAATCAAGAAGAAGGATAATAAAGATGAAAAACATCTGATTTTGCACATAATTTATGGGTGATGGACTTTAAAACCTAAATTTTTTACCAAACAAGATGAAAAGAAAAGACTTTTCTCTACTATCTAATAGATAGGCCAGGACCTAGCTGTCCAAATGTAAAAGAAATATTCACATTAAGACAACAGAGTTTTTACTCTTTTGAGATTGAGCGAGTACTGTGTCACATGTTTTACTTTGAACACCTACTCCACCTGGACTGCACAACAGGGGGTATCATCCATCCATCCATCCATCCATCCATCCATCCATCCATCCATCCAACCAACCAACCAACCAACCATCCATCCATCAGCTTTACCTGCTTAAAACAAAACTCTTAATTTAAAAAAGGCTTTGGATTAAGGGGACAAAAATAAGCACAACTAAAAAGTTCCTCAAGAAACTTTTTGACAGGGACTGCCACATGGCAGCCATTTAAAATTTTTGATTTGTAATACCGATACTATACGTTGGTGTTCGTGCTCAGTTACGACCATACCAAATTTCAGCTCAACATGGCAAAAAAAATCAATGAGTTATAGTCAATTTTTATTTTAATCTTTGGTGCCATTTTTGATTTGGAGTCAGTATGTGATGGGGAACATTCTCAGCTATAACCACACCAAATTTCAGTAATTGAGGCAGCCATCTTGAACCAAAATGGCTCCAAAAGTTAATCAGTGTTTTGTTTGGAAAACTCTTAGTCATGTGACTTCAATGTGGCAATTAGACACTGTTGAGTTCTCTGCGTTTTTCTATGAGAAAAATGGTGGCTTTGTTTGCTAATTACATCGACATGGTAACTCTAAATGTCAATTAAAGTAATAGCACACATCACGGTTCCAAGCCGGTCGTTTTGATACAAGATTTGTTGGGGTACACGTTGCGGTTCGAGCCACAAAGTTGATAGAAGAACAAGACCCTTTTCAGGTGGATAATAGGCGACTGTCTTCAGGCAGTCAACAATTATTTTCTCAGAGATGTAACATTCTATCAGTGTCTCCAGACAAGAGTCGTTCAAAAGTTTTGTATTGAACTATTTGTTAAAAGGAGTTAATATTATGGTTACAAATGTTTTGACATTTGCTATTTCCTTGATTACAGAAGACAAAATCCTTTAGACATTTTAAGTTGTTTTAAAAAGGAAAATATTTAAAAATTTTGTCTTCTTTTTTTTTACTAACTATTGTTTCTTGCAGCTGTTGACAACCTGAATGAATCCCTCCTTTGCCTCAGTGATTAGTTCCATAACAGAGAGGAAAGCAGTGATCAAACCTACTGATGTCATAAGCCTGAGATAGCAAGTCCCTCTCCATGATCCGCCCCATGAAAGGGCCATGTCTTCTTCTCACTCCAATGTAGTCGTCGTCGTCTTCCTCCTCGTCTTCCTCCTCTTCAGCGTTTGCACCGTTCTTCTTTGCATACGGCTTTAATAGTTTCACGCAGCGCACCAACACTTTACTGCCTGGAACATGAGAGGAAATAAAATAAATGATTTTTACATCAATATGCCAAAAGACTTATTAATTAAAACTTGTCTAAATCATTATAAATGTTAATTTTTGTACTTTTCTGTAATTATAACTATGAGTGATTTCATAAGCTTTTGCTTCACCATAAAAAATACAAAATACAGATCTAAAAAAATTAAATAACATTTAATGTAGCACTGTGCTTGGTAACGTTCCTGTTTTGTTTTACACAATAAGGATGAGAAACATGTAAAATAATAAATTTATTGAAGCCCAATCTTTTCTGAGTACCGTATTTGTGCCTTTAAATGATACTATGTCAAACTGCAACCATTTACATGCATTTTTAAGCATTCAAGATCTTCTGGAATCTGGTCAAATAGTAATTTTGCTTCAAAATTCCTGACAAGTAGGTTCTGGATTCAACTTGCAGCTAAAGTCTTCTTGTGTGCTTGCTGGTTCTCTCAGAGAATGTGGGGTTTACTCCAGGTTTCTCAGTTCAAAAATATGCATGTTTCATAAGTTAAAATTCTAAACTGACCCTAAGCAAAACTGCTGGCATTGCCCCACAGAACCTCACTGACCTACACAAGGCGAGGTCCGTGAACAAAGCCAGGGTAATTTTGGCAGATCCTGATCACCCACTCCATGGTGAGTTCAAGTTGATGCAGGTATCTGCTGCTCAGGTGTAGGAAGAACAGACTGAAAAACTCATTCATCCCTGTAGTGGTCAAGCTTCTCAATGAACAGTGATGATTTCATTTATTATTTTAATGTCTCAATGTCTTGTCTATGGATGTTTTGTGTGAGACTACTGACTGAAACAAATTGACTCTTGGGGATAATAAAGATTCTTGAACTTGAAGTCCGAAGGTGAGTGGCCGATGGTCTCTATGTGGAGCTATAATGAATCTTGTGATATGTCCAGGGTGTACCCCGTCTCTCGGCCAACGACTGCTGAAGATAGACACCAGCTACCTCTAGCTGTACATTTTTATATTCAGTACCGTTTTGATTTTAACTGTGACTTTTAGTTGACATCAACAAAACTCAATAGATTTGTTAAATATGCTTGGGCATGGTTAAAAGTAATGGATGCATAAGTTACCATTTTTATTGGTGCAAGGTTTGGCGCTGGGGTCCAAGTCCTCTAAAGGGTAATGGCAAAACTCAATCAGCTTGCCAAATCGCATGTAGTTAAATAAACGCTTAAAAGTACCGTCGTCAGGCAAATTCTGAAGGGAAAAAAAAAAAGCCCCACACAAAATTAGTCACAACAAAGAAAAAGACAAAGACAACTGCACACAGAGACACTCACCAGATACACTCTGAGCATGTCCATTGTGGCAAACTGTTCAGGTGTCTGCTGGAGGAAGTTGGATACGCATTCCATCAGAAAGTCGTATTTGGTCCGCCTGAGAGAGCAGAAGGAAGGGATTTTATAACAAAAGAAGGAGTGAGAGGATTTAAAGATAAAGATACATGATATGTAATTATTGTGAAGCACTTTGGTCAGCTGTGGTTGTTGTAAATGTGCTATATAAATAAATTTTGACTTGACATTAGAGTTGACACAGAGAACGAAATGAATTGAACAAACCTGTTAACATGGAAGCGTTTGAGCAGGAGGAGAATGGAATACTGCGTATTTCCTGTCTTAAGTCGTTCGGCGTAAGACTGTGTGGTGATCAGATCGTGCTTTATCAAGGACTTCCTAAAGTAGTGCACTTTTCGAGCATCTGCACTGCTCACAAAAGAAAGACAAAAAAACGAGACTGTTACGTCCATTTTTTTTTACAAAACGATAGCATAACTGGCAGAATGTTTCCTACTTGAAAAGGTTTCCATGCAGATTTTTTTGCAGCTCTCCTTGCCAGCGTGCTCGACCCACTCTTTCCAATACGCAGTAAGAATCACTGCTGAGTTTTAGGTCGGGATCGCCACCGGGTCCAATCAGAGTATGAAACCGCAGAGCCTGAGAAGCCACGATAACAAGTTTTCGTCCATATCTGACAAAGTGAAAGAAAAAAAATGAAATTCAAACGTGAAACATCAGGAATATAATGAGGTCCTAGATTGTGAAATCAAGCTGCCGACATCCAAATGAAGATGGATCATTCTACTATTAAATTATCTTTACAAACATTTTCAGAGCCTCGTCCAAGCTAATAAGCGGGGTGAAGGACTTGGAGCGGATTTGCTTTGTGACATTCTTCCTCTCTTTGAAGGCGGCACAGGAGCCTTGTATCCCATCCTTGTTGTCAGGAACGCTATGAATTGGATAGATGTCTCTGCATTCAACTGAAATCTTCTCTCCTGTTTCAACCCCCGTCTCTGGGTCGGTGGCCTTAAACCTTTAGACACACAACACAAAACCCCAGAGGATGATAGTTTTAAACTAGTAAAATTACCTTCTTGCAAACAAAACATGTAAAATCTTCAGAAACTCCAAGTTTATTCTACTATACTGCAGTTCTGAAAGGTATACTGATGGAAATAAAAACAAAGACTGCTTTAAGAGAAAAAGAGCATGCAATTTGGGGGGTGGGGGGATCAAAACATTGTGCTTTGTTTATGTTTTGATTGTAAACTAACTAACCTTTGAATTTGGGAGAAAGAAAGGGAATTAACTGAGAATTTCACAAACTACAAGATCAGAAGTTACACAAAGTTCATTGCATCAATAAAACTAGCATTAAACGTGTTCAAGAATAAACTACATGTTTTCAAGCTTTGACTAAGTGGAGAGTAAGTAACAAAGTAGTCTCATTAAATGTTGACCTGGTAGTTTGTAACTAATTTAAGGACCAACATCCCATCGTCACCTGTCAAACAGCTCAACATCTTCTCTCTCCTGCGGAAGTTCGTAGAATCTCAGGTCGGTGTTGTTGACAAGATATTTCCAGATTAATCCCGCCTTGGTACTATCGTCGAGCTTCAGGGGAAACGATGGCTGTCTATTCTCGAGCCGTATCCAAAGAGTGGGGATGGTTATCCCGTCCAGACCCTCCAAAGAAACCTCATCTATAACGATGCTAAGCGAATCCATGAGCTAACGCTGCTTGTTAGCTAACATGCTAGCTGTCTGTCGGTTTGTCTTGTGTGATAGACGTTTTATTTTTTATTTTTAAGACTATCTTTTTGCGTACTTACTGCCGGTTAAAATAATCACGTTAGTAAGAACAAAGATAAAATGAAATAAACGCATTAAACTATGATGTTTACAAAGTTACACTACCACAACGCCATATTTGAATACGTTATAAATGAACCTTACGTCATACGTCATTTCTCTACGACAAGCCCAAAGGGACAAAAACAAACAAAAAATCCTACAAGGCAGCGTTCAGTGAATGTTTGATCAAAAGCAACGGTATTTACCTTTTAGATTTTACTTGTTTTTAGTTTATTTCTATCTATATTATATCCTAACACATCAAATACTAGTCTGCCTTACAATGGAAGTAATGGAATTGGAATTAATTAATTCACTACACTTAAACCATATTTTTATTATTCATCTTGTTATAAGAATATGGACAGGCTTGATTTTTGAATATAGCTTGACATATTAGCCTAAAAATAAAATACGAAACATGTTACGCAGGCATACTTTATGATTAAACGTGTTATCTGTGTTGTCATAATTCAAAGAGAAATACAGCTGAGACTATAGAATACAGCTATAGATCATCTTCTAATGTAATGAAAATCATGATCTAAAATTACATTTATACAAAAATCAATTGAACTAAAAGTTGAAATTGTTTTTTGTAAAGACCCATGTTAACTAGATAAACTTTGCAGCTTTAAGTTGTCAACTAAAAATAATAAGCAAATCTGTTTTTTTATTTTATTTTATGGAAATACCACTGTACATGAAAAGTGCGTATCACTGTGCGAGCGTTTTTTGTGTCATCTGCTCTGTGGAAGAACATTTCACTAATTTGTACATGTATTTCATAAATGTCTTTCTCAAAAGAAAATTCCATTAAACAAATTTTAAAGGTTAATTGTACCATTCTGAACAATATTTCCATCTATAAATAAAACAGTCATTTTATGAAGATACCGGTTATTAAAAAAATTTAAAAATGACAGAAAGTTTTAACTATGCATGTTTTAGACAAAAAAAAAAATCAAAGCATACAAAAAGCTTATTTAACTTCTTTATTATGAAGTACCTTTTTAAAAGAAATGTACAAGTGGAACAAGCACAGTGACATCTTGGCACTGAAAAACAGAAACACCATGAACATGTGGTGCAGATCTGATGACACGTATGAAATGATAATGTACATATTTACAACACAGGGTTGATCAAAACAGAAGTGAGAACAAAAAAAAAAAATGCAGCTAAAAACAGAAGGAAAAAAAAAAACGGAGTGACTGAAAACTTGCTCTAAAAACACGAATGGTTCAAGAAAACATAGCGCGATAGATAACATGATAAAAAGGCACTGTGTTTCACACAAATCAGCAACACAACAAATAAAGTTGTTCTCTTTAAATCGGACTCATGAACAACTTTTGACAAATGTTGTCATTCAGCTGTTCCTAAAACAGGATATTTAAGCATTTGGAGCAGAAACAAACAGATAATTCAACTCATCCAGAAAACATTCCTCATAAAGAACATGCGTAGTGATTATTGATTTTTAATAAACAAATACATCTAGAAATTTTAGATTTTATACTGAAGGCATAACGAGCTGCAAGGACAAACTTGTTTTCTGATTTTGCACTTTTTTGCTGGGACAAAGCCAGGACAATTTAAATTCGACATTCCTGCAAAAACCTCTGTTTGATGAACACATTCAACTACCTATCAGCATGGATATCAACATTAATCAGGCCAAAGGCTGGATATCAATACTAAACAAAAAGCAGACATAAATATGATCACTTAGTTTAACTCCTTTGAGGATATGGGCAAAAGAAAAACAATACATTCAGCTTACACAGCTGGTGTGTCTCAGTGCAGCAACAGCTGCACGCAGGTTTATTTTAGGGATGCACGATATTGGATTTTTGGCCGATATGTTAAAACTTATTTGGCCAATAACCAATACCAATATTTTTCCCCCCAGACCTACCTAGAGACTACATAATTTTCTCTGCTGTGGAATTAAAATATTATTCTGCATGTTCTTTGTCAATTTGGCCTGCTACCAAAAGCAGATGCCAAAAAGGGAGCTGAAAATGATGAAACGCTTCAACTTGGATTATGTTTAATGTCAAATTTATTCATGACATTTACTCTCTCTCTCCAACACGACGACACTTGAACAGTGCAAATTTGTAAATTTTCACAAATCTAAACTCAACAGCGTGCGTGACGTCATAACGATGTGCTGGCGCTGTAAGCATCTTTGTCACTGGGTTGTCATTAAAAAAAAAAGCACCATATATATATATATAATTATAATTATATATATAAATAGTTATTTTGATGGAATAGCCAATGTTTGATATTTAACTTTATCACCAATATCGCCGATGCTATCGTGCATCCCTAGTTTGTCTGGAATCAAGACTACTGAAGTACAGTACAGATATCAGCCATTTAGAGGACGAGTTTTACTTTGTTTTTTCATATACTATGCGTTTGCTTGAAGAAAGTTAGATAACATGATTTAATATTAATCTGTATAATAAATATGAAGCTAGGCCTACAGACAATTTAAACTGTAGTCAGCCGCGTACATTCAATAAATCTGCCCACTTAGTTTTTCCTTATTAAACACACATCTGAAGCAGGGTTTAATGTTACATTTCATAAAATAAACAAGATTTTTTTTTTTAATCTCCAGCTTCCAATATATATGTATTAATTTATTGCCTTTTGGTTTATTTATATTGTTTGAGGCTAAATGAACCAATTTTACTAAGCAAGGCTTTAGTAAACTGTGCGGGAATATCTTATACACTTAATTCTCACCAATACTTAATTAACTCACGACAAATCAACACTAAAACTCTACAAATGAAATCCATTAACCTTTAGAAGCAAACCTCGTGTTTCTGATGCACATAAATGTCTAAACGTTTTCCAGTTTTGTCCTGTGAGCTAGCAGCTGTTGGCTTCGGTTTCATACTTCCGATGTGAATTTGATCGTTGTGAAGATCTTCCACAATGTCAAACCTATCTTTTAGGATAATGGGGAAAATTGAAACAATGTCACGTCACCGTGTTTCAGGTCTGTGAACCTGCAGCAAAAACAATCCCTTCAGCTCATGATGAAAAACAATAACCCACAACTGTGGACTGCATGAAGGCATGGAGGAGACATTTACATGTTCTTTGGCTGAGTTTAGGCGTACAAGACAGACAGGCTTACACACATCAATGCGCTTAAGAGCGTTTTTTTTTTTTTTTAGAGAGAGCAATGCCACAAGCCAGGCAGGCTGGCACTTACAGCTCAAAGGTGAGGGCGCAGGCTTTTGATAAAGCAGAAAAATATGAGTTATAAAGGCAATTTATGGTTTTGTTGGAGCTTTTGTTACCAGTCTACAATAGTTCTCTGAGGCTGATTGAGCAGCCCAAAATCTTGGGACCATTTGGACTGTGCACGCTGACGAGTGCCTCATAATAAACCTCGCATTCAAAAGGAGACCCCAAAAATGAACATCTGCAGCTTTACATAAGAGAATTGGACCTGATATAAATTGAGGGTTTTTTTTTTTGTGGATCCCAATAGTGAAAAATATATATTTGTAAGTATTTTAAAACAAGAGAAATCTCCACTCACAGGTTAACTGTCTAGAAGTGAGGTGCAGTTAATGTGATTTAATAAAAAGAAAGAATTGCTGCTCAGACATGACTAATGAGCTACTTTAAAAACAAAGACATTAATACAATATTAAACTGAGATATGAGAAAATTAGGCTGCTGTAATAATAGTACCTGCCTTGTATGTATACAAATAAAACAACAAGTCACTAGAATACTTGTCTTATCAAAAATATGTAGCTTTGGTAAACAAGTTATGCAAAAAAAAAAAAAAAACTGAGTGTGTTACTGTGAGATCACCTGTGACAGCTAGGAACAAGGTACTCGGTTTTGAGGCTATGAAGTCAACAAAATGAGAAGCAGGCTGAATGTCCCACTGTCCTCCTCCTACCCCCCCGTCCCCAGCCGATCAGGAACAGAGACAACAAAAAGCAGCTCGACTCCTAAAAGGAACAAAACTGCTTTCCCCGCCGTCTCGAGCACCGATTGAAGAGTTTCTGTGGTAATGTAGCAGCATCATAATGGTCTGCGGAGGACAGAGTCCTCCAGAGCAGAAGTGGAAGACTACTTTATCCTCTCTTCTTCCAGGAGCGAGAGTCGCGCCCTCCCCTTTTTATTCTTACTCTTTTGGAAAATCCACAATGAAGACAAACAGGTGAAATATTTTGCCCTCTTCCATCACTCCTGCATCACCTGGACATTTATCGTTTCGTTCCAGGCAGGCCTTCACATATAACCACCTCCATAATCCTCAAGCTCCTACGCAACACAGTCTCCCTTCTCTCACACATTGCTCTGTCCGTTTTTCTTCTTCCCGACGTTCCATTCGAGAACGTTTTTCTTCCCGTCTCCTCTCTTGACGCTGGACTTTCCCGTTCCACGTCCTTGGATTTCAGTCGACCTTCTCCACTTTCCCAACAATCTTTTCCTCAAAGATGGGCAAGATGGCATCGTCATCTCTAACCTCCTCGAACACGACGCCGCAGTCAAACTCATTGCTCACTTTCTTAAAGTAGAACCTGCACACACACAGACGTTAAAATCAGACATGTTTTTTTTTCTTTTTCTCACTAGGCGACGCGTTACAGCTTTAAGAAGGTATTTGCTTTGAGTTCTAACCTGTAACGACCCTTTTTGGTAAGCAGCTCCTTAAACTGGCCCAACGTTACGACACGACCTTTGACTGATGTTCGGTAAGGAATTGGCTCTCCGCAGAAGTAGTACGCCACCGTCATGTTCTCACATACTTGCCGCTTCCCAGATTTATGCCTGAGAACAGGAAAGATCCTTGTTAAAACCATAAAAAAACACACAAGGGGGAAAAAATAAAGCAAATCTAATTTTAAAATGATAACTGATGCGTACTTCTGCTTGGCCTGCAGCAACGCAGCCCTCCTCCTCTCCTCCTCCAGCCTCCTCCTAGCCTCCTCCAGCTGGGTAAGAGGGTTGGGAGCTGGGTTGGGGGGCATAGCTGGGTCCTGAATGAAAGGATGCGAAGGCTGAACCTGAGTGGATGAAGAGCTAGGGATAGCTGTGGACACGGAGGAGGGATTGTTACGCAGCTGAGCGGAGACCCAAGGGTGCACAGCTCCGGGTCGCTCCACTGAAGTTGGACGTGGCGACTCGCTGCTGGTTCCCGTCCTCCTGGAACTGCTTGTGCTGCCGCTGGGTGAAAAAAAAAAATAAAGGAATGCAGAAGACTAGCTGAATAAAAACATGACTTCAGTACAACTCCTTGCTGCATATGGATCAGTAAAACAGGGCTATAAAGGTACAGTTTTTAACACAAGCAAAATCATATCAGTTATGTAACATATGTAGGTATATAAATATACGAAGACAAGCAAAAACACAAACGACAAAAAAAACAAAAGTTGAACTGGACAAGATGTTTTGTTTTACATACCAAGACAACTAGAAAACTCACCCATGAGAACCTTTCCTTTGTTTGTCTCCTTCCATCATCCACTGCATAATCTTCTGGTTTCTTTCCAGATCCTCAAGTGGAACTTGGGTTTCCAAGACACGCCCGCCCTCTTCACCTTTCCCTGACGACTCGGACGTCTTTTTACAGCCTCGCCTGGACATTGTGCTACCTTTACTACTGCAGGAATAAGATAAAAAAAATAAAAAAACACATTTAAAATCACCTGAACACCACACACACGTAGCTGTAGATCTAACAAGCATGCGAACCTGTAACCCATCCCTTCCAGGGTGCTGGCTCCAGCTCCGTCTGCGTAGTTTCTTCTTCCCGTGTGCTGATTGGCTTGATCTCCATTCCATATGAAGCTGGCCTGAGACCTAGAGCCCGCCTCGTCCTGGCCCTCTCTTCCTCTGTGGTGGTATAGCTGCTTGTGATGATACACACCTGAGACAAATTTAGAAGTCCGTTAGTAAAAGTCCTCCTTAAAATAGTACTGCAGATGCAACACCCAAAACACTTTTTAGTAGATCACATTAGGACTGTCTACTATCTAAAATTTATTATAACTTTTTTAATATGTTAATACAAACTTATAGCTTATACTGTTATTATGTCATGTTTATTATTGAAAAAAAAAGCAACAATTTGAGCACAAACAAAGTCTGTTCTGTGGATGAGCAGCAGAAAAACAGTGAAAAAACAACTTTAATTTACCGCACCTTTTTAAAAAGTACCATTTTTTAAATATATATTTTAACAAAAATAGGTTAAAGCTGATTTTCCTCCTGAGTCACAACTTTTTTAAGGCGGCAAGGGCTCAGGTGAAAGAGCAGTCCTTTAAAAGTTGGAAAAATGATGGCACAATATTGGCTTTGCTCTCCCACATATCAGAGCATCCCTCAGCAAAACACTGAACTCTATAGCTCCCTGCATGTTTCCCCTACCATCCAAGGAGGGCGCCCCACCCAGTCAACAGAACCGAGTGCCCTGCCTACCAAAATGTCATTCACCCACAACTCTCACCCTACCCCTCCCTCAACAACTGCCAGCATTCTAAGTTAGCATAATAATACAGTATATAATACAGTACATAATACAGTTGTGCTAGCTAAAAAGCGAGAGACGTAGCGCTCCACTTCGCTCATGTTGATGGTGTACGCTGGGCCCTTATGTTGACCTTTATATGCTGAAAAAGAGGTTGAAGGTGGCGTGTGCTAATCATGCTAATCGCAATAACATCTTTGTAAATTTACGCATGAGAAAAGTCTCCTTGACTTAGCAATGATATGCTAACTTTTGTTGTGGTGCCCACAACATTAAAACACATCCAAGCGTAAAAGCAATGCTAGCCTTGCTAACAAATGAAGACTGTCACAAACAGAAATTACCGTACTTCAGTGAATTGTTTGGCTACAAGACGACAAAACTCAACTGAACCACAATAAAATGTACAGGAATGATGATACTACTGGAAGTGCAAAATATAAACTAGTTTGAACTAAAACCCACTGTGGAGAAAAGACAGGTTAGGAAGAGAGGCACCGAGATCCAAAGGCAAACGATCAAAAGCATCACAGGACCAAATACTCATTACACTCCATACGACGGCTTGACCAAATCTCATCTTCAGCTGGTCCCTCTTCAGGGTTTGCCGCAGTGAGTCATCCTCCTCCATCTCATTCTATAAAGTTCCATGTATTGTCATCATTGTATAGAAACATGAAATGAGAAATTTATGCTCTGCATTTAACTATCACACGTGAGATACTCCCATGTGTATGTCCATGTTCATGTCCAAACCATCTCAGTCTGGTCTCTCTAACTTTATCTCCCAGTTGTTCAACCTGTGCTGTACCTCTGATGATCTCATTCCTAATCTTATCCATCCTTGTCTCTCCTAAGGAGAACCTCGACATCTTCATTTCTGCCACTTCCAGTTCTTTCTCCAGTCTTTTTGTCCATGTCTGTTTCCAGACCATACAACATAGCTGGTCTCACCACTGTCTTGTAAACTTTTCTTTTGACCTTTGCTGACACTTTTTTTGTCATAAATTACTCCTGAAACTTTTCTCCATCGACTCCATCCTACCTAAACTCTCTTTTTTTCACCTCTTTACTACACTCCCCATTTTCCTGGACAGTAGACCCCAAATACTTGAAAGTCCTGCACCTTTGTGACCTCTGCTCCTAGTAGCCTTACTGCTCCACCGGCCTCTCTCTCATTCATCTGCAAACATCATCGCCCATGGGGATTCTTGCCTGACCTCATCTGTTAGTTGGTCCATCACCAGAGCAAACAAGAAGGGGCTCAGAGTCGATCCTTGATGCACTCCAACCTCCACTTTGAAGCTATCTGTCATTCCTACAGCACATCTCACCACTGTCCTGCTGTCCTCAAACATGTCCTGTACCAGTCTAACATACTTCTGTCACTCCAGATTTCCTAATGCAATACCACACCTCCTCCCTCGGCACTCTGTCATACGCTTTTTCTAAATCCACAAAGACGCAATGGAGTTCTTTCTGACCCTCTCTGTACTTCTCCACAGATGCCATCTTTGCTTTGAGGATGCTGATGGTGCTCTTTCTTGGTGTGAAACCATGCTGCTGCTCATAAATTGTCACCTCTCATCTAACTCTACCTTACACAACTCTCTCCCAGATCTTCACTGTGTGGAATTATCAAATGGTGGACAGAATTTACTTATGGCCGAAGCGATGCTAGTCCAAACAATGCTTTTCTATTGCAGCTTTGTTTACAATAATATATCAAATTTGAGGTCAGTTTTATAAAATTACAGTACTGTGTTGATGACTGAAGAGTTGTAGGTTGAATAATTCAGTAATTATTAAACTACTGTGATAGGTGGTCTATAATTTCTTGTCAAATAGTTCCATGAGAAGTTCTTGCATTCACACGGTCATCACGCTCTGTACGTCAAGAAAAGAAAATGCTCTTTGCATGTTTGCTTATTTTCTTGTTCCACTGCTTGTCAGTGCTAATTATTTGCTGGTGTGGCCTTCCCCTCGAAGATGCAGGTTTTCAATACAGCCACCTACCTTTGACCCCAGCGCCAGGCAAACTGTGACCCGAACCTCGATGTGCAGGGTAGAGAGGCGGCCCGGTTCCTCCATCAGGCGAACGTGATGATTTGGGCGGCGTGTGCCGACCTCCTCCTCCTAAGCTGTTATTGGTTGCCCCTGGCGATGGGCAGCCCGGTGTCTTCATCACCCGCTGTACATGCTCGTCCAAAATGGATTCTGGGTCGTCCTCATGGGAATCCTCCATGGCAACCAGGCCGCCGTAAGTGGCGGCTGTTCCCGTGTTAGCAGTGGTCTCTGAGTAACGGGCACCATATAAAGGTGGAAAGGATGAAGGGAGGGTGAGTGGTATGCTATGAGAAGACATGGAGGTTGTCATGGAGACATCAGCATCATCCCCTTCTTCTTCCTGTTGGAAACACAAGACCAATATTCAATTTCTAGACGTGCACAAACAGTAGTTTGTCGTTTAAAATGTGTTAAGACATTACTCGGTACTCCTTTCATAGCTACTTCTGGATTTTTAAAGGAACACACAGCAGGCAGACTGAATCCAAACCTGAAACCATCACTACCACACTACGGAAAGTTCCCAGTTATCCACTCACCAGTCGTACTCTCTTCAGCCGCTCTTCGAGTCTTTCCTGAGCCTCTCTTTCTCTGAGAACATTCTCCAGCCTGCTGATGAGCTCTGCTGCAAACCTCTCTGGCTCTACATGGATGTCCTTTGGCATGCGATATGTACGCTTCATACAAAACAAAACAAAAAGTTTATTTTGTTCAGTTCTTACACACAAAGCAAAAAATAGGTCCGCGACATTTTAAATGACACGCTAGCAACAAATTTCAGAAGGAAAAAATTTAAAAACAGGATAAAGGGTAAAAGTGCCAAGAAATAAAACTTCCTGAATATAAAAAAATAAACAACTCTGACAAAAAAAAGCTTTATTCAGTATTTCTGCATATTAATCTTAGTGTAAAATATTAACAAAAAAATTGTAATAAAACAAATAAATCTTGTTAAAAGTAAAATAAAATACATTTTTGAGAGAACTCAAATATTTATATATTTGGATTTATGATAGCAGAGGTTCTGCTCTTTGGCATCGGCAGGGCTCTGTTTTTATCAACTTGAAGAAGACATCGGCAGCAGTTTCGACAATAGCAAAGCTTCCGAGTCTGTGTTTGGGGGCAGCTGTGGCTGAGTGGTTAGAGCAGTCGTCCTCCAATGTGAGAGTTGGGGGTTCGAATCCACCAGCAGTCACATGCTGAAGTGTCCCTGGGCAAGACACTGAACCCCTCATTGCCTCTGATGTGTGTCCCATCAGTGCATGAATGTGATAAAGCTCTGATTAGTCTCATTAGAATGATTTGTTCAATTATCCTTGTAGATATCAAGTAGAGTGCTGTATGAATGGGTAAATGAGGACAGAGATTGTAGAGTAAAGCGCTTTGAGTATCTTGAAATAAGATAGAAAGGCGCTATATAAGTACAGTCCATTTACCATTTGTGTTTGGTTTGTGTTATAAGGACTCAAAATCAGCTGATTAATGAGCTAAACCATAAGATGGAGACCATTTGTGAGAATCGCAGGCCACCTGCAGCTTCGAAGACTCGCCAGCATGTTGGGCTCGGCTTTGAGGAATTCTCATAACACGGATCAGTGGAGTGAAATACCCATAAATCTGGCTACTTTGGACCGGGAAAGTTCCAGAAGGACTCAAGGCTGACAAGAAAAGAAAAAAACAGTCTGCCTGAAGAAAACCAACAATTGTGGCTTATCTGAATTTGACTCCCCCGTTTGGCCTCGGATACAAGCCGACTATCAAATTTCTCCTTGGACATGGGTAACTAGGGAAAAAGCTTCTTCTATTGCAACCAACACCACCCCCACCACCCGAGAACTTCTGTGCAGGCTCATCATAACTGCCGGCTGAACAACAACATCAGGACTGTGGCCTATCTGAAAGTGCTCATGGACAAATCTCAACACCTTGACGTCAAATGCATGTCATTGTGTTTATAAATGTGCTTGCTGGTAGATTTTTTTTATATCTTAAATGGTGTCCTGATAGAACAAGATGTGAAGAGATCTTTTTTGTAATACCACTATCCATCCTCATGGCTCGTACCTTTTTCTATCTAAAAGTTTTCTGAAAAAGAACAAGGGGCCGCGCTATTATAGCAGCAGCAACGTGTACTCTGCCCATCTTTCGGACGACTGTACAAACATAATTTCACTGTATCCTGGTAAAATTATAATAAAGCTTATTCTGATTCTGATGTATTTACCCCAGACGGTGAAAGATGCTGAAGCTTACATCTCATATGTTTAGGACATTTTTTGCTTTCTGCAACTGTGTAAACATTTTAGGATATTGCCAAACTGTTAATGGAAGGTGTTCAGATATTAGTAGGGAAAAAGCACAATGGCATTCATCTCATCAGTTAGAGCAAATAAAAAATGCGTACAAAGAATTTAATTCCAAGCTGTGACATCACACATTTAACCTCAAACATACAGGTGTTGACTCAGAATTAGGACAGTCACACTGACTTTGCTAAATATATGTGGAAAAGCTCCGAGTGTCAGTCTGCACTTGTTGCTACATTCTGAGCAGTGAATGCAGAGTGTATGCTGAATTGCTGAATGATTGATGCTTATACTCACAGGTATATGAGGTAGAGGCACACGACCGTTGGCTTTGGCACTTTCATGCATCTCTTTGCGATGCTGTTTCCGATATCTGTATGGAGGAATACCATCTCTGTGCACGCACACACAAATGAAGAATTAACCTTGGATCTTCACTGGTCAATACATCACTTGCAGGTGCAACATTTAGCACTTCAAATTAGCTGAATTAATAAATGTCTAAATAAATGCTGGACTTACACGCTGCTGTCAGTTAGTGACAGTGTGTCTGCATCGCTCGACATGCTCTGCTGCTCACTGTCGTTGGCGCTGGTGGCTGGAGCTCGAGCGTAGCCCATGTTAGCATAGTACGGGTTTACCGGCTCTCGCCACGGCCTGTGGAAGAAAACAGACACCCTGAATCATCTGCTCAAACAAGGATGAGGTTGCAGGCGCATGATGTCCTTCATAAAAGTTTTTCCAAACATGTTTTTGTCTCTGTGCAGTCTCATTGGTTGGAATTAGAGCTGGGTGATATGGACCAAAATTAATATCTCGACATTTTAAGATGAATGGCAATATATATCGCAATTTTTTTTTTCTTTCCATAAAGTAATAACAAAAAATGCATTTCTGAGTCAAAGCTTTGTCCCAGTTGTCACACAGGCACATTTATTAACAAACAGCTGTAACTGGACAAAATAAATGTCTAAAAAATAAACTATTTACATATATTAAATAATAATCCGCTTCAGCTGCGCCGCCTTCACAACGTTATTAAGTGTATGTGAAACTGCAGCTCTGACTGACTTCAGCCTCCTTCCCTGAAACAAACCACCATACAAAACTCATTTAGCCGTGTTGTGTCTTATGAGAGGAACAGTGAGAGGTGGCGCGACATTAATAAAGCGGTAGCTTAAATCGCTAAAGACACAGTCCAAGTCTCAACTGTGGAAAAAGATGGCTAACTTAACGGCTAGTTTGTTCTTCACATCTCCCTTTTTAAAACAGACTTTTAGGCTACGTCACACTGCGGGTCTTTACACTTGATTCCAATTTTGTGCTGAGGGACAATTTCTTTGTGTGGTTGTTCAGATTATAATTTAAACAAGACCATCATCAGACTCCAGTGTGAATAGTCTACAGCCCTGATGCAACTTGCATGTGCAGATGAAGTGATGTCACACACAGAATGATGATAACGCAACACGTTAGCATGTATTTAGATTATATAAAGTTGTTGTGCAATCAGAGGCAACTAAATTTTTATCTGCTGTGCTTGTTTCGTCTAGTGTTCATAATTGATCTTGTCGCTTCTCATATTCTCTGGAGCTAAATTTTGGGACGTGAACGACATACTGAAAGTCACATACTGATCCCATCATGCTAGTATCAATACAGTCTGACACCAACGTTGGGATCATGTGTTGGTGTGGATTCTCAAGTCATCCAGGACGAGGCAAATCCAAAACGTCTAGAAATTCAAAACAGCTGGACTTCTGTTCTTTAGCTGAAAACATTTGACTACCATCCAGTGATTGTTGTCATCTCAAAACTGGAGTGTGGAGCTCCAAAATTTAAACAACATGACGTTAAAATATGTTGGAATAAGTTCAAACCAAAGTTGCGTTAAAAATCTTTCTATATGTATTTGATTTAGTACCACATATGAAAACTGCCTGGGTCCGACTTGAAATGCATAAATAAAAACTAAAAAAACTGGATTCTTGACCTTCAGACTGCCAACAAAAAAGTAAAATATGAATCACGTAGTGGCAAAAATAGGGATTTGGGCCACTTTTGCTTAGCTATTGTCTTATCAAGTCGAAACTAGTGTTTTATGATGTAATATTGTGGTCATTACTTTTGATCTACACAAAATAAAAATCTATTGCTGCTATTCTGCCCTCAGTATGGGAGCAGTTAAAAACTGCAGACTTCATGTTGTAAAGATTTTTACACTAGTGCCCATTTTGCCTTGGACTAATCTACCGATGTGTACACAATGTGCTCTCACACGGAAAACATAAGACAGAATGAACCCACTTTATGAATGCACAGCAACACACACCTGTACTCCCTGCTGTCCTGCCGCCTCCTGCTGGTCGAGGCTCTCTGTGGCACTGTCTGCATCAGCAGGCTTTGGGTCAGCCTACCAGCTGGTGTATCTCCACACTCCTCGTCTTTCTCTTCTTCCACTTCCCTCCCTCCTCCTCCACCCCCACACCTAAAGATCAGATCAATATCCATCACTGAGAGCTACTAAATAATTCCTAAACAAGTCAACATTCAAGTGATTCACATTTTCTGGGCAATGACAAAAACGTCTTCAAAATTTTTATAGTACGGTACAGTAGTCCCTCGCTACTTCGCGGCTCGACTTTTGTGGACTCGCGCTTTCGCGGATTTTCAAAGTAAGATTGTACACAAGGAAAAAAATTTAAATAAAAATAATTTTTAATCTTTGTTTTTTTAATTGTACACGGCACACAATTGTCAACTTTAATGTTACTCACATGATTGGGACAGTACTGGATACAGTATAAAAATTAAATAATTCGGACAGGCGCCACCATTTTTTGGTTTTCTCTCAATAAGCCTACACTTCAACGCCAGTCAAAAGGACTACAATACCCAGAAGTCCCAACAGAGCTTTCAGCCGTTGCTTTCTGCTGAAATGGAGGGAAAGTTTTGATCCGATCCGAAAAACTTTAGTCCTTATTCATAGTGACTTCAGCGCTCAGCGGATGCAGAGCCGTACGGGACCGACCGGGAATTGGACCAGAACCTCATCAGTCAATCTGAGTGCTGCTTGCCGGTCCATGAGGTCTCTCGAGCAGGGAGGTGTCACTTGGAGGTCCGGTGTTTTCTCTGGAGCTCACTGGGTCATCAGGATTTGGACTTTATCAGGACCATTGTGTGGTTTTGTGCTGGCACGCTCTCTAAAAGCATCTTGGTGCTCAACTGTGCTTAAAATTACGTAGGTTTAAGAGTTTAGAACACTGTGGGCTTCGTCGCTGCGGGGTATGTCTGCCAAACCGGAACCGAGCCAGGCCGGAGCCGAGCTGCTGTTCCGCAGAAATGGTGAGTAAATATTTGCAGTACTGTACAGTACATATATGTCCAACATTTTTCAGTCAGGTCATCTGGACATTTTCTTTTTTTGTGCTGAAACGTTTCGCCTTCGATCCAGAAGGCTTCATCAGTCAAGGAAACGCACAACAAAACTGATTCTTCCCCCAACCGCTTACTCCAAAATGGAACAAACCCGTTATGTTGGTGCTAAGATGGTCTCTTTGGCACGCCCCCTCCTCCATTGCCGGCCCTCTTCCTTGTTGACAGTATTGTCAAACTGGTTGAAAACAACAAATCCATGCTCAATAATCCAGGTATAAAATCCAGCATTTTTCAGTCAGGTCATCTGGACACAAGCAGAACTGGTTTGTTCCACTTTGGAGTAAGCTGTTGGGGGAAGAATCAGTTTTGTTGTGCGTTTCCTTGACTGATGAAGCCTTCCAGATCGAAGGCGAAACGTTTCAGCACAAAAAAAGAAACTGTCCAGATGACCTGACTGAAAAATGTTGGATTTTATACCTGGATTATTGAGCATGGACTTTGTTAGTACATATATGTATGTTGTTAAAATTATGTAGGTTTAAGAGTTTAGAACATTGCAAGAGTGTGGGAAGGGTTTATAAAACCTTAATATATATGTAAATACTAAAATAAATATAGCGTTTATACTTTGCGGATTTTCATTTATTGCGGAAAGGGGGTTAGCCCGCAATAAACGAGGGACTACTGTAATGCGCTTAGCTTTGAGACACAACCAGCGGATAATTTGCAGTTTTATCATTTCTGGCAACAAGACTTTGTCCAATGAGAAATGTGATGATATATGTATACATTATTTATTTATTTATTTTTTAAGTGTCAGTCTCACCTCCACTCCTCATCCTCAGCAAGAGTAGGCAAGTACCCAGCCAGAGGCTTGACTGGCCCTGATGAAGGGCTTTGATCACTGGGATTAGGCTTGGGGCTCTCTCCTCCTGTCCGAGTGTACTCCAAATACAGATCAGATTTGAGAAACAAAGGGTAGGTGTTCTCCTCCATCATAGCCTGGATCTCTGTCTGAGCCTTGAGCAGAGAGAGTGGCACATACAAAAACCATTAGTGAGAATTTTACCTATTGTTACACCTTTAACGCAGTTCAACCATCACTAAACAGAACGAGTTGTTTTCAGTTTCAAACACGTTACAAGAAAAACAAGTTTGTGTAAGGAGCTCCCAAGTTGATACTCCCAAAAACATTTTTTATGAGGATTACAAGCTTAATAAAGCTTAAATAAATTTAAAAAGTTGCAGTCTACATAAATTACAAACTGTGGTGTCAATTTAAAGCTGCGCCACTGGGGAGGAAATTACTTGACATATTAAAAACAAAATGTAACTATTTCAATCCATCACATTTATTTGTAACACACAACCAAGATGACAAAAATATTAGGCTCTCTATACTTTAAATTAAAAGCACAAGCGCCACCAGTGTAAAGTTACTCTGAGATTATGCTTATATAAAAATAGTGTTTATATTTTCCTCGTCTTATTTTAATAAGTTGAATCGTTTTCATTGGCGTCTTATCAAATCTAACTCTTGAGTTGTGACGATTTTCAACCCAGTCTTTAACAGATATCTGCCACTTTTATAGTAATGATTTTAAATATTTATCCAGTAAACATGAATTATTACAAGATCAGCAATGAGCACATTTGTCTTTTGTACAGTTCGTTAAATCAGATATAACTAAAGGCACAGTTTATTATATCTAAATGTCTGTCACTATAAATAATATCAGTATGTCCAGTGTTCTTTAAGACATAGCAGCTTCACACAGAACAATATTTTTATTTGTTAAAGCTACTAGTGCTTTAAAAAAAACTGCAGGTTTCTTCTTTGTTTGAATTTCATTAGAGTAACATGCATAGTGGTCAGTCGTGTCCTGTTTAACTTTGTTTGACTTATGAAAGATATCCATGTAGGAAAAAAGAACTAAATACAAAGTCACACTGATTTTTTTTTTTTTAAATTGACAAATTAACCCACCAGATTTCTTTGAAAAGTAGATTATGTCCATACTATCAAACATTTAAAGCGACTGCAGATGGTAAACTGGTGCCGTGTTGAAAATGAGACATGAATGTCACAAAGTCTAACCCTATAAAACGGTTGTCAATTGTTGAAGATCGAGAAAATAAAAAGAAAGCGGCAGGTCAAAAGTCAAGTATGACGTCAACGCTTTCTGCTCCAATCACGTTAAGGGAAATGTGCACATGACCAAAAGTTAAAGGCACATCATTTTTGGTGACTTATTTCCTTCTTCGTTAGTTTAATTTTGAGTATTTTAAGTGATTTAATAGAAGACAACTGAACTTCTCTTGGTACTTGAAGATATTTCACCTCGCATCCAAAAGGTTTATTCAGTATAAGTTGTTATTGTAACTTATAAGCCTGAAGCTCCCAACCCATAGTTTATGAATCGTCTAAGGTTTTAACAACAAAATCTCTTTAATGCAGTGTACAAAAGATAAAAGAAATGTCAGATGTTCCCAAGCATTAGTTCATGGGCAGGGTTAAAGAAAGCAGAGTGAGAAATGAAACTATAACTTTGTTGTATTCAGTACTTTGTAAAGGTTTTCTTGCTAGACTTTGAAAACAAAAATCCATACCGCTCGTGAAGCATCACTGAATGTTACTGAAAAACCAAGGCCTCAGGACTGAAACGCCTACCGCAGAGTAAGAATTCTGCCGTGAGTCCTTTCGCAAATAAAAATTAAACTTCATGGGCAATAAAAAAAATAAAAGAAAAACATACAAAATTAAGTAAACTGCAATAGGCATCTCCAAAATCACCTCTAATTCTATATCCACGTCTTTGTTGCATCTGGTTTCAAACTGAAATGTCACTTTAAATGAGCTTCAGACCCATAAGCAAACTTGTTTGCAGGTAACTATCACTGCAAGAAAAGTGACCAGAATTCACCTACAACAAACCAAATAAAAGCCCGTGGCCTCAAATATAATCTTAGAAAATTCAGTTTCAGCAGGGCACCATGTCTACATCAATGTGACTTTAAAATTCAGTTCAACACAACTGCACCCAAGAGTTTTAAAACACAGCCTCTATCCTTCTATAGCATTTTGTAATCCAAGCTAGTCCACCACGCATCACGCTAGTTTGGAGAATTTACTGTTTTAGTCACCTGTTCAAACATGGCAGGGTCTGGATGCTGCTTTCCCACACAGTCTCTGATGAAGCTCTTAGTAGCCGATTTGATCTGCCTGGAGACGATCCCACCTCCATCCACTATGTATTTCCGGTAGATGGCCTTAGCCAGCTTGGGCTTTTTCTCCTGACTGGTCTTCCTGAACCCTGAGCACGCAAACCAAAAGTCAACCAGGTCTTCACACCCTTCCTGGCACAGGAAGGATCTGAACAGCTGGGTGCCTTCCTGGTCATCTAGAAGAGAGTGTAGTGACTCAGCCCACTTCAGATAAGGTGGAGTTGGAGAGGCTGAGCCCTCAGGTTCATAGCCCAAGTCCAAGTCAGGGCGACGTGGAGTTGCAGACGATGAAGAAGGTGAGTAACTTGATAGATCCCCCATTTTAGATGACAAAGGGTGGCCTTGCGGTTGGTATAGGGTATTTGGACGGCTGTTGACCGACTGGACTGGGGGGTCCAGATCAGTCCCTTCCTCACCAGGAACTGGAGGTCGCGGTGCATCTTCAGTAAAGTGGGTGGGTCCGTTCAGAGAGGCCACAACCCCTCCACCGCCCCTGTAGCCAATTCCATGTAATTCTCTGACAACACTCATGTCTCAGATTGCTCAAGGCAGAGGTCAGACCTTCTCCCGTAGCTGTGACTCTGCAGGAAAACAATTCAACCTGAGATGAAAACAAGAGAAAACAAGTCAGTTGTAGCACACAGCAGACATAAACATTACTTGTAAAAATATATAAGGACAACGAACTTGTCTCCCACCATCTACAAGTACAGCAGACCACAAATATAACTTCACACTCAATAAATACTTACACTACCTAAGTAATCCCTCATTTTTTCAGTTTTGGTACAAGTTAGACCACTTTATAATATCTTAAAGTGGTTTTGATCAATAACTTGACATACTTTTAGGGTTTTCAAAATGTCTTGCACTTTTTTTTTTATTACAGTTGTGCTCAAAAGTTTACATACACTGGCAGAATTTGTTATTTTGCCATTTTTCAGAGGATATGAATGATAGATAACCTCTTACTCATGGTTAGTAGTTGGATGAAGCCATTTATTATTAAACAGTTGCGTTTGCCTTTTTTACATCATAATGACAGTAAATACCCAGATCAATAATTTACATACCCTGGAAGTTTTGGTATAACACACAGATGTAAATGGCTACTACAGGTACCCAGCTTCATCTGTGATCGTTTTGCTTGTAGTTAGTGAGTGTGTTTAAAAAGTCAGTGAGTTTATGGGCTCCTGACAGGTTTCATCCAGTGTTGATTCCAAGCCATGGGGAAAGCAAATATTTATCAAAGTATCTGCGGGAGAAAATAGTTGATCTTTATAAAACAAGAAAATGATATAAAAAAGATATCCAAGCAATTAAGAATGCCAATCAGCATTGTTCAGACCCTAAGAAAGAAGTGGAAAATGAGAGATTCTGTTGAAACCAAGCCAAGGTCAGGTAGACCACCAAAAATTTCAGCCACAATTGCCTGGAAAATTGCTCAGGATGCAAAGAAAAACCCACAAATAACTTCAGCTGACATACAGCACTCGGGGAAAAAAGTGGTGTGGACGTTTCAAAACTTGAAGAAAAATGGGCTACATGGTCGAGTTGCCAGAAGAAAGCTATTACTGCGCCAACGCCACAAAGTAGTCCGCTTACAATACGCTCAACAGTGCCGAGACAAGCCTCGAAACTTCTGGAACAAAATTATTTGGAGTGATGAAACCAAAATTTTACTTGTTTGGCCACAAACATAAACGTTACATTTGGAGAGGAGTCAACAATGCCCATGATGAAAAGAAGTGGATCGCTGATGTTTTGGGGATGTGCGAGCTACATAGGCACAGGGAACTTGACCAGATGTAGCATGCTATCAGAAAATAATGGAGGAAAAGTTGCGCTCATCAGCTCGGACGCTGCGCATGGGACGCGCTTCGACATTCCAACATGACAATGATCCAAAACAAGTCAACGTGTCAGTGGCTACAGAAGAAAAAAGTGAAGGTGCTGGAATGACTATCTCTGTCTCCTGACCTCAATATCGGTGAGCCACTTTAGGGAGATCGCAAACGTGCAGTTCATGCAAGACAGCCCAAGAATTTACAGGAACTGGAGACATGTTGCCAAAAACAATGGGCAGCTTAGCCATGTGAGAAAACGGTGTCTCATTGACAACTATCACAGGGACTTCAAGCTGTCCTTGATGCTAAAGGAGGAAATATACGGTATTAAGAACTAGGGTATGTACATTTTTGATCAGGGTCATTTGGGCATTTTCTGTTGTCCTTACGATGTAAAAAAAGACAAACACCACTGTTTGATATAATAAATGGCTTCACCCAGCCACTAACTATGAAAGAAAGGTTTTAGTGTTGTCCAACAATTTTCAGGTCATCTGGACAGTTTCTTTTTTTTTTTGTGCCGAAACATTTCACATTCCATCCAGAAGGCTTCATCAGTCAAGGAAACAACACAAAACTGATTCTTCCCCCAAACAGCTTAGTGGAACAAACCAGTTATGTTGGTGCTAAGATGGTCTCTTTGGCACGCCCCCTCTGGTGCCGGCACTGTCCCTTGTCAATAGTCATGTCAAACTGGTTCAAAACCAACAAAGTCCACGATCAATAATCCAGGTATACAATACAACAATTTTCAGTAAGGTCATCTGGACGGTTTCTTTTTTTTGTTTGTGCTGAAACGTTTCACCTTCCATCCAGAAGGCTTCATCAGGAAACACACAACACAAAACTGATTCTTCCCCCAAACAGCTTACTCCAAAGTGGAAGGTGAAACGTTTCAGCACAACAACAAAAAAAAAAGAAACTGTCCAGATGACCTGACTGAAAACTGTTGGACTGTATACCTGGACTATTGAGCATGGACTTTGTTGGTTTTAGTGTTATCCTATTCTCTGAAAAATGGTTAAAAAATAAAACTAAACTTTTGAGCACAGCTGTATTTGTATTACATACAGTACCTGACCATTTTCAGTGGAATATTTTTAAGTCACTAAACTTCGATTTATGAACCATTCAGGCATCAAAAACTTCTAAACCTAATGAACCAGTGTTGTGTCAACATCCATCCATCCATCCATTTTCTTTACCCGCTTATTCCATTTTGGGTCACGGGGGTCGCCGGTGCCCATGTCCAGCAATCACTGTGCGAGGGGCGGAGTACACCCTGGACGGGTCGCAAGTCCATCACAGGGACACATAGAGACAAACGAGACAAACAACCATTCACTCTCTCACTCACACCTAGGGACAATTTAGAGTTATCAATCAGCCTAACATGCATGTTTTTGGTCTGTGGGAGGAAACCGGAGCACCCGGAGAAAACCCACGCATGCACGGAGAGAACATGCAAACTCCACCCAGAAAGGCCCCTGGACTGGGGTTTGAACCAGGGACCTGCTCGCTGAGAGGCAGCAGCTCTACCAGTTGCGCCACCGTGCTGCCCCATATTAAAAACCAGTTTTACCTATTTTTTTTGTAGTTTTAACAATTGTCTGAACTTTATTTATATTTCAGAGCACTACCTCATGGCCAGTTAAAACAAGTTTGTATTGTTTCTAGGATATTGCTCAAGGGTCTGTTTTTCTATAAAAATAAGATTGGAAAATTGAAGGTGCATTGTGACTTTATAACACCTGACAGTGTCGCTTATAAAATAAAACCGGTATTGGCCAAAATCGGAATCAGGAGGTCAGGCTTTGTAGAAATCTGTGATGTGACAGAAAACTTCAATCGGTGCACCCCTAATAGATACCGGTAGATAGAAATCAGAGGTTCCCAGACTTTTCAGGTTCTAAAGCCACAAAACATCAGCAGAGACTTGTGCCACCTACCATAATACTGCTGTTTTAAATGTACAGACATTGTTCATGAGTAGGGGTGCACCGATTGCAGTTTTCTGTCCGATCACAGATCTCTAAAACGTTTGACCTGCCGATTCCGATTTTGTTTTATAATCGACACCGTCAGGAGTTGTAAGGTCACAACGTGCCTTCAATTTTCCAATCTTATTTTATAGAAAACCATACCCTTGAACAGTATCCAAGAAACAATACAAGCTTGTTTTAACTGGCCATGAGGTAGTGCTCTGAAATATAAATGAAGTTCAGACAATTGTTAAAACAAAAGTAAAATCGGTTTCTCATGCAAGTATCGGCCGATTTATCGGTGCACACCTATTAATGAGGCAATTTACAAAGTTACAACGAGAGCCTAAACACCTAACAAAGTTGCTTAACCAATTTATGACTATTTTTATATTTTACATTTACAGCAGCAACATACCAATAAGAATAAAGCTAAAATATGATTTCATTTCTGACATTCATCATGGGAGCCCACACTTGAAAATGATGAGCAGCAGCAGGATGATGTTTCTGGGCTCCTGAATCAGGTCTTTCACTGTTTTCTGCTTCTTATTGACGTTTTGTTCTGTAGATATTTAAACTCGTCTAGTTTTCTCTTCTGTTAAAAGGCACGTTGTCATGATCTGGTACAGAAACTACACTGAAGAATGTCCAAAAAGTTAATGTCAGAATAAAAAAATAAATAAAAAAATGAGTGTCTGACTGTGAAGAGTAGCTTTGATTTCTTTGCAGCTCTGCAAAGCAAATAATGAGCTATTCAGACCAATGCGTGTGGTTTAAAGTAAAACATTGCTCAATGCTATTTGACTCCTATTATTAAGCCTACGTTTTAAACAAACTGCTTAATACTGGCAGGCTCTGGGGTGCCTTAAAACAATCTGAACTATGAGCAGACTTCCGAGCCTTGTTCTCTATTCAACTTGTTCAGGCTCACTTAGCTGCGCTAACACCGTCTAGCTCACACACTTCGTGCAGATCCACACAGTTTCCCAAACAATCGACTAGTGTTAACAAGCTAAGACAGCTAGCTAGCTTCGTAGCGATGCCACCAGCGATGCCACAAGCTTTGAAGTGAGAATCTCATTCATCTCGGCCTGCGGAGACGATGGGGGGATGGGTGCAGCAACAAACTCCACAGCCGCACAAGAAGGGCCTCGCGTGCAAGAGTACTTCAACAGAAGCGCAAACTGTACAATGATGTGTGCCGGGCTAACTTCTACAGAAGCAACCTCAACTTTGTCGCTAAACTCTTACAAATAGTGTGGTTTGACGTCAAACAAGACATGAAAGCGGAGGGCACGTTTTCCACTCGGCTGGCTGCAGCAGCGCCAGCTAGCTCGGTTTGTTAGCTCACTAAGCTAGGTGCGTTCACGTCCCGTGTTTTTATTATGTTGGGTTTTTTTTCTCGCACTACAAACTGTCTCGTTCGTTTGTTTTACCGTTTCTGGAAGCCCGTTCCCCGTAATCCGCTGCATCGGGAACACTGGCGCAAACAATGTAGTCCAAAAGGCGGCATGTGGATAAGCTTTGAGGGACTAAACGCGAACAAAAACCATCCCGTCGCCGTGCCCTTAACTCCCCATGGTGGTGGTGAGTTTCAGAGAGCGACGGATCAGAGAAACAGGAAGCACACGGTGTTATCAAAAGCTCAGCCTGGAAAACAACACCAACAACTGTTTGAAAGTTCCTACAACAAACATGTAACACTCAGAACTTTGCTTCAAAACGTTTAAATACAAGATCCAAAAATAATTTAGATCATTTTAACTGGCTTTGAGGTTTAGTGGATTATAACTCCCTAATTATAAACTGCAGAATTTTTAATACACGAATAAAATGAAATTAATTGATTATTTAATTGTGATTATATTTAAAATTTATTTATTTATTTTTTGTGATATGTTCAAATACCAACCAGGCCGTAGAGCAGAACTAACATTCAACTGATGGAATGAGGGCCAAATCCGGCCCCATGGGCAATCTCAATTCGGTCCAGGATAGCAATAATAATAATAATAATAATAATAAAAAAAATATAT